GGTAGATGCAATGTTCCCTGTAGTAGCTTAGCATGGTGCTTTCATCTTCCTGACTGGTGTGCCCAATTTTTCCTTTAAAGAAGTATTTCTTCTGTCGCTCAAAATCCAATTTGCGCATTACGATCAATGCATTCTGGGAACATGCAGTTACCAGAGTATCGTTCGGGAACTGCTGTTGTTTCCAAGTCGTGGATCATTTTGAGTGGATAGGTAGAGGCAGTGATTCTAAGGCTTGCTTGTAGGATACTGAACATTCTGGGGAGCGCGGGGTGCTCCACAGGTCATGGATCTAAGTAGGGGTCGGGAGCTGGGGCATCAGAGGTTGTAGGACTGCCAAATGGCGTTGATCTCGGTTCTTTATTGTGACGGGCTTCTGCTTCGGTAAAGGTGTCTCATGACAGCGCACGGCTTGCGCACGCTGAGAGAGGTATTGCAAGCTGGTGAGTGCAAGGCTGTTTCTGCTTGCCGTGGCTACCTTTGTGAAGAAACCTCCTGAAGAGATGCTCTCAAGGCAGCCGGTCATCACATGCCCTACCGCTCAATCCCGAGCACTTGGACCTACCTGTGACCCCAATTACCTACAGCTTGGTAGTTATTACCCCCTTGCTAGTAGGTTTTAGCCCATAAAAGTGTAGGTAATCGGGGTTACAGGTAGCCTCTTAAATCCCCATGCAGTCCTGGAGCGCGCTCAGCCACTGGAAAGCCCAAACTCCTGATCAATTCCACCTCTTTGCTGTGTTCATGACAGCCGTATGTCAATAGCGACAGACCTCCTTTTAAGTAGTATCTTGCACGCAGCAGGCTTCATTCACTTGACCTCTGAGCTGCCAAACGCCCCCATCTCATTGACCCCTAAGCCTTAGGCCCCTTCACTCGTGAACCCTCAACAAAGAACCCTGAACCATGTGGGATTCCTTCCCGCAACAAACTTGCACCAAATGCCCAGGCATGTTTTACCAGGATGGCCTCACAGGCAGTCCCTGATTAGCCAAGCTGGCTGCCAATAATTGGAGTTGGGGCTGAAGGAGTTCCTTTTGGGGGGCGTAGAGTTTGGTGGAGATGTCAAAGAAGTGGTATTCTTGTGGTTTTGCCTGGAGATCCTCGAGAATGGAAAATCCGCTCGCCGGGCGCATAGAGGATTATCACCTGCCTGATGCAACCAGCGCAAATATTCATTTCTCTGTACGTAGTCCCATGATGACACGGGTGATGCTCAGGGTTTTGGCATTTCTGAGACTAGAGAAAGGATTTGGATTGCGGATGTAGTCTACGATGTAGTCGCTCTACTGTTCCAAACCGTTTGATGTTATACTTGGAGCGTTCCTGGGAACCTGCTTCCAGCATCCTAAGACACAAGCACCCCTCAACTGGTGCGCCAGATATCCTCATCGCTGCCCCCTATAGCCTCCTAAACCCTACTAGGCAGCAGTTCAGAACTCACGCTGGTACACGCACTTGGCGCCGCCATCCGATCCCCTTGAAGGACAGGATGCTATAGAAGCCTGAATGATGCCTCAGTAGACCACACATCGAAGATGCTTCAAGCCCCACACTGAACCCCAGACACCCTACCGTAGAACCTCAAACCATCCTACTTGAATCATCTGGTAGTTTCCAAAACATAGTGGGACCACAAAACAGAGACACAATACTATAGTCCTTAGTCTAGGGACTCCCAAAATGAGATTCCCAATTTGGGGAAACCTCCGTTAAGGCCTCCCCACTAGCAACAAAAAGCTGTCGGGCAGGTTCCGCCTGGGGTGACTGGCGCCTCGGCTTCTGTGCATAGTAGAGGGATGAGGGCATTAAGATTTAGGGTGTTCTGTCATGTAGGACTCAGGGGTCCTAGTTAAGGATAGCTGGTTTGCAGGTGAATCGTAAACCCTAAAGCCTAAACCCATTGTTACTTATGTGTTGAGGCTGCATTTGGAAGTTGAAGTGGGTGTGTATCTGGGATGCCGTCGGGGGACCAGAAGAGCCTGTGCCGAACTTTGCCAGTGGAAGCAGGGATTATATAGCGTTATATAGGGGTTATATTGGGGTTTTCTAGGGATAATGGAAAAGAAAATGGAAACTACTGTTTAGGGTTCAGGTTGAGCGCCAGGGGAGTCCTGAGCTCAAGTCAGTCTGTTTGCTTCCTCGCTTACGTCTTCAAGTTACATCTTGAGCATGTTTCTGACGGATGTCCGGCGTCCGGTCTGGGGTTCTGGCACCTAAGGCCAAATGTCCGAACGGTTTGGACTCATCGAGTTCCTTTTTCAGCCTCTCCCCTGTGAGCCATTCTTCTGGGTTGCTGCCAAGGAACTTAAAGTAAGTTACCATATTAATGTTGTGGGTATATAGTCTCCTTATTATAGTAACTTAAATTATGGTCCTTAACAGCAATCACCCAGTCTTGTACTTGCAGATGCTGACGCCTCAGACCCTTGCTGCTTCACATGAGCTGTGTCTAAGCTCCTTAAAGGTGGGTTATAAGGGGACGATTAGAGGGGCTATGAGCCCTAAACCCTAAACCCTAGTAGTTTAGACTATGGTTCACACCGGCAGACCGCCAGTCAAGACTTCGTTGCTTACAGAAAAGAAGCTTTTCTTCCGTCCCTTCTCTGGACTTAGGTAGGAACACATTCAAGTTTATAAGCAGATGGTAGTTTTCCTAGATAGAGACCTCACCATAGACCCACAGATATTATCATCCTTGTCATAGGGACAGATACTGTTATTATTATTGATAGCAATGGGATTTCGTAATATACTTACCTATCTGGAAATTACAGCACTTGGATGCAGGGCCAGCTACACGGAGTCTCCTCTCCGCGCATTTGAGGAGGAAACCGGCGTGCAGCCCCCTGCATCTTGGCATGCACATTTTAGAGTGTCAGGCTTAGCGGTGGGGGTTATAGGGATGGTTGAGGGCTTGTTGTTCTAGAGTTCTAGGGGTTCGGGTTTCAAGGTTCAGGGGCGGTTAGGAATTCAGGCTTTGCAAGCTTGCATATAGCTGTGGAGCTTGGAATTGAAGGGTAAGCTGCTGGGCTTGTAGGTTTAAGGTTGAGGGGCACTTCCATCGGGCGATTTATTCCTAACATCTTGTGGTGGTGAAGTAGGCGACATTGGAGGAAGCTGTCATGACGAGGCATAAGGGGCCATAGTTGAAGGTATTCCCCAGCTGTCCATCTCCCCCTATACTACCCCCTCAAAAGATCACCCCATAAGTATCTTCAACTAGTGTTAGATGAGTTTAAACCTTCAGATGGGTAGGGGGATGGTAGGGGAACCCATGGCTACCTAGCTTAGTTTGGCATGCATGCAGTGATGTAGGTCGTTTCAGGTGGGTGGTCGGTAAGAAACCTTGCTTCTGAACAGAAAGACAAAAACCTGTTGTCTGAGTGTAGAAGTAATTCGGAAGCTTATCAGGAATACTGTTGAGTTGTTGCTGAAGAGTAGCATTCTGGTCCTTGTTATTACGACGATGTCTATGATCATTGCGGAGGTCCGTGTCTTTGCTGTTGGTCTCGGATGATATTGGTACCAGTTTCCAACTATCACCTATGCCATTCTCATTCCCTTTGGGCCCCTCTCGCACACACACACACACAAAGCTGCCGGCATGGATACCACCTTCAAGGAGCTTCAAACCCTATGTAGCTTTAAGTTATCAAGTCCCAAAACGCCCTGAAACCCCGAATCCCAACCCGAGCTTATCAACCTGATGTTCCCAACCCCAAGCGCCTGAAAGCCCCTAGAAAAACCTAAGACCCCAAGCGCCCCCCAACTCCGGAACCCCCAACACACCCTCAAACCCCCAAAATACAATTTCCCAAGCCCCAAAATCCTTCAAGGTAGGCTACTGGGACCTCTAGAAAAACCTGACACCCCTAACCCCCCAAATCTACTACAATATATTACAATATACTAAAATATGCTACAATATACTATAATATTTTACAATATACTACAATATACTAAAATATGCTCTAATATATCGCAATATTCTACAATATACTATAACATACCTTTGAGGTGGGCTACTGGGACCCCCTGGGCCTGGCCGCCAGCGGCAATTTGGCGGACTTCCAGCGCAGACGCGAGGTCGAGCTCAAGCGACTTAGCGGAAATGAAGGTTCCAAAGCACAGGATGTGGGTGAGGATTTAGGGTTTGGGGCTTAGGGACTTAAACTTAGGGATTTAAGGTTTAAGGTTGGTCTAGGATTTAGGGTTTAGGGGTTTGGGATTCAGGGTTTGGGGCTTGGGGTTTAGTTTAGGGTGTAGGGGCTCGGGGGTTAAGGGTTGGTCTTGGGGTGTAGGAGTTCATGCTCGGAGTTTCGGAATCAAATGGAGCTTTCTCCTGGCTCGGCCATGGTCCTCCATAGCAAGGATCCCCTTTTCTCCGGGATATATTAGGGGGCCTCAGTTTTTGCGAAACCGATCATTAGGGGTGGACACAGGGCTCAGAGGTTCCTCCTACCTCCTGCAGTTCAACTTGTTCAGGAAGTTGTGTAACACGACGTGCCTCCAACCCCTCAGGAGAAGCGCCCTCAGCTGCACCACTAGCACTCATCCCTGGTGTTCTGAATTGGCATTGTTAGCTATCCACAGGCTGTAGTTTAAGGGATGACCCTCTGCTTGGAGTTGAAGATGTAGATTTCACAAGAGACCTGCTCAGTTCTGAACCTATGAAAATCTTCTAGGACCTGAGCCTACTGGTGGTCAGTAGGGAGGGCTATATGGAGATTATTTTCCGTCATTCCTTACAAATCACCAGTAAGTGAGGATGATTTGGGGGAGTTGCAGTTTCATTTAAGCACAAAGGCTTTTTGGAACATGCGGGGGATGGCTGGAGTCGAGTCGGGTTCCGGTGGCATCGCCCAGTTTACTACGGCGGGTATTCAAGGTTAGGCCCTATCACACAACATCACCCCAGAAATACAAAGGTAAGTAAAGGGCAACGGCACCCAGCTTTGTTGTGTGTAGGAGGTGCAGGGTGGAGGTATCCGGCTCATAAGGCACGGCCGCGTGGCCATGTTTGCGACCATCGGCTACATCCTCCCAGCACCTTTGCTGCACGAAGGTAAAACAAGTGAGGTCGCATCTTTTTAAAGACAAACCACTGATCACTGGGATCTTGCAATTAGTCACTATATAGCAAGCACAAGAGGATTTTGGACAATGAGCTGACACTGTTGTCGCCTAGCTCTTCTATACGAACTGAAATATATTGAAATAAGCCAATTTCACGTTGCGCGCATGGTGAGTCTTCAATGTACAACCGTTCGCTTAACTTCAAATCGTATTTCTTTCCAATGGAACCCCCCAATGTAGGGTCCTGAATGATTACCAATATTGTGGTGCTTGCTAATCATAATTGTGGCATCTGGCTTCAAGATGATACTGGTAAGTACTCACGCCCCTACGTTACGCAGTTCCAAAACACCATTGTATACACCCATGTTCCATTTAATTTTCCATTTTCTTAGGGCGGGAGATCACCTTCTGGATGCTACTAGGGGTCTGGGCACGAGCCCTTGAAATTGCACCAACACCCCTACCAAGGACCCTAAACCCCTAAATCCCTAAACCACTAAACCCCTAAACCTAAGGAGTACTGGCGCTTCCCCGGCTACCTGTCGAAGTACCTGGACATCAAGTTGCTTGGCTGCGCTTCCCCTACCAGACATCGAGCCCCAAAGGCAGACATTGACTGGGTTGCTGGTAAGGAACTTGAAATAAGTTACCAGAATAGGTATATACAGCAAATAATAGGGTTTCCCCAATACAGTAACTTAAGTTAATTTCCTTAACAGCAACCCAGTTGATAGGGTCCATCTGAGCTACGGACTAAAGATCGGACTAAAGTTCGGGTGCGGGGACAGGGGAATATACAGGTGATAACTATAAGGCCTATTATATCAGGAAGATACTAGAATTGCTAGAGCTTTAGTCCAGGGGTTATGTGTGTTTTGGGAAGGGTAACCTCCCTGACGAAGGAGGAGAAGGGTTCGCTTGCATGTAGAGCGCTGCAGACGACACAGCTCATGCGACAGTTCTGGTGACCGTTTGGACCGTTTGGTTGAGTACGAACCCATGAGGCGTCAAAACTGCATTCTCTGTCTACCACACCCTCTGCCCTCAACCAGGTCCGAAGAAAGATCTACTTCTTTCTAAGCCCTAAACGCCAAGCTTCTATTCAAAACCCGGTGTTTTGAGCTCTGGATCGCAAAGCCTAGGCTATGAAACATGAAGATACTCAAACCTACCCTTAGCCCTCAAATCACGATACCCCATCCTAAAACCTGAGCCCAGAACCCTGAACCTTGAACCAGAACCCGAAGTCGAGGTTCGCTGATATGCCTAATGGCCTCAGCGCTCTTAGCAAGGCCAAACTGTGTCCAAAGCAATGGTAACGGTTTTAGGGCTAGGGGCTTTGCTTGAAGCCGGGAAGGTTTTTCACATTTTGGTGTTTTTTGAGTTTAGGCCGTAGGCAGGTGCAAATCTGTGAAAGACCTTGGCCCCTTTTGTGTGGCTGTTGGGAGACCCTGTGTTGACTTAGAGTCGTGGGTTCAGCCTCGGGTTCAGATGATTCAGCGAGTCGTTGAGCATGCTGGGGGATGGAAGGATTGCTTACTGCTGCTGTGTGGGGGAGGGGGAAGTGGCATTATAAAGTGAGCCTTACATTATACCATGAGCTCCTAGAATAGTACCTATACTACCTGCCCCAATCCCCATCAAGCAACAGTAAGATTGTGGAGGATAGTAGGGCTCTATGAGACGATGGCCCTTCCGCCTCACGATTGACACGGAAATCCGAAGAATTGCCCAGACTGTTGATGGACAAAAATCCTGAATGTCCTGATTGAATTGAAGAACCTTTTTTTCCTCGGCTTGAGGTAGGTAGCGCCTTGCAGGTGTCGTTCCCTAGCATCCCATATATGAATGGCAGACTGTCCCCTAAAGGGTCTATTGTAGTGTTCTTGGCTCCAACAGCGGGCCTGCCAAATTTCATGAGCTTTCGCCGAGTCCGTGTTTTCAAAGGGCCCTTCACTGGAATATGTAGGATGTGTTGAGAAGAAGTTTTATGTGGCAGTGCCATTTTTCAGTTGGAAATGTTTTATGATCTTTAAGAGAGATCCCCGACGTGACAGAGCCTTCATATACTGCAAGCATGCGTAATCCCCTCCCCATAATATTAACCCCCCCCCCCACCGGCCCCACCCCCCCTGATATTAAATATTCCCAATATATTCTAATATACCACAATGGGGAGTAATTAATATTTGGGGGGGTGGGGAGGGGTGTGTAATATCAGGGGGAGGGGATGAGAAGCCTTCTTATCAGCAGCCTGGCATACTCTTCCGGCATCCCGTGTGAGCCGCCGGAAGAGGTCCCCATGGCAACATGCTCATCAGGGCACGCTTCATAGGAACCGTAATCAAAACTCCTGAAAGGAGGTGGTATAGAGGATTCTATGGGGGACTACTATGGGGGCTTTTAAGGGGGGGATACTGGGAGTTTAGATTATCAGCATCTTATGGACTCACATAGATTTATTTTGAGAAGTGCCATCGAGCTTATTCATGCCAAGGACAGATCTCTCAGGGTCTTAGACGATCCTGTCGCACTGTCCCAATTGATACAGTAGCTCATGCTTCTCTCTTGCTCATAGATCATCCCTAAACCCTAAACCCTAATGATCATCCAGAAACCCATGGAGGTGCCTTCTTTCGGCTGGCTTCAGATCGTTGGCTTCGCCGGCATCGTAGAGGTGCAAATCTACAACGAGCAGGCCCATGCGCAGAGTAGTAGGACCACGAAGAGTGGTAGAATAGGAATGCATATACAATGTCCCTATATGAGAGTAGCATTATCCCCTGTGGTCACTCTTAGTGGGTGGGGAGGACACCCTAAGCTGCTGAGCAGGATTCGGGGTTTGGGGGCTGGGGATATGTCTGGATTTAGCACATGAAACGCAGGCTGGTGCCTTTGGAGTTCCAAGCTCACAGTTTCGACATGGGGTTTGGCATCTAGCTTTACTAATGAAAGCTAGGTTCCCTGATCCCACACGCACTCTCTGACCCGTGGAACAGGGACGGCCCAACAGGGATCACTAATTTGAAGGAAATCCAATGAAACCTCAGCCCTAAGTCGCAGCAACTTACTTTTCGCACGGCTGCCACAAGGCCTTGTGCTCTTCTACAGGCGAGGGGTGGGACTCAGAGATTAGACCATGCCTGGTCAGAAGTACGGTGTTACATTGTGCAGTGCGACTCCCGAAGAAGAATGAATTTCAGGATGTCCATGACCAAGCAAACCCCTCAAGAAAGGATACATACCAGACAGACTACAGCCAGAATAGGGGGGCCACGAGAATCCCAAACCCAACTCTTGTCACTGCTGCTTAAAGGGAAGGCTACCCCTTTCCGAATCTCCACATAAAGTCCTACGAATCCTACTTTTTTGCCTCTAGTCACTCACCTTGAGCATGCTGTTCTTATACCACCCTATACAAGTACTGTGGCTTTCAACTTTTTGGCCCGAGCCTAAGGGCAAGTCTATCCCAGAGCTGTTCCCAGAGTTTTTGGGTTGAAGGTGTAAGATGGTTTAGGGTTGACAGTTTACGGGTTAAGGTTAAGGGTTTAGGGTTTGAAGGTTCAAGGTTGAGGGTTTACGAGCTGAGTGCATAGTACTTCAGAAGGGACAAATGAACGCAGATACAGCAGTTCCCCCTACGCAGAAAAACTGATATGATGCCAAGGCCCAAACGGTAACCCCTTCCGCCTAAAAAATTGAACCCTCCACCCGCTAATAGCACATTTCCCCCTACCATATAATGGTACGATAATGGAATTACATATCTAGAATTGGCAGGTGGGGGGTTCATTACTCGGGGCATGGGCACAGCCACGGCACGGGCGCTACCCCAGGTTGCGAGGCCAGGGGACCTCCAAGGCCCCTAACTGATCTCTAGACTTAAAGTCGTAAAGTATAGTGTAGTATAGTATAGTATAGTATAGTATAGTATGGTGCTGTATGTTATAGTAAGTTACAGTATAGTATATCATAGCATGGTATAGTATAGTATCTCAGATCCTCAACACGAAGCCCCTGAAGCCCAAAGCTCCGCACCCTTCAACTTCTCTAAATCCCAAGCCCGATTTTGCAACGGCAGGTCAACAACGAGCCCGGCAACTACGGCGCCGGCTTTCTCGGGCTTCGGCCGCTTGTTACCCTGAACCAGGGGCAGTTAGACATCTAAGCTGGGGTTGTATAGGTTCTGCATTGGTGTTGTGTAGGATTTACAGTCTACGCAGGGTTACAGCCGGAACTCAAACTGACAACATGGAAGCTGGGATTATACAGGGGTCCATGGGGTGTTTAACATAGAAGCTCGAAAAACTGCCCCGGGATCATTGTCGCATGTACTTTTCGATTATCGAAAAGTACATGCGACAATCATCCGGTGAAGAGTTTGGGAAGTCCTTCAAATGGAGCGACATTCTCTTCAGGGTCTTGCAGGGCACCCAAATGGTAGTTTCCCAAGATCCGGGACCCCCTGTATAGACCCTATAATCCTTATTAGTGGGACCCCCCAAAATGGTACCCCTAATTCTGGGAAACCCCAAATATGTTGAAACTCCCAAGTACGGTTTCCAAGGCAGATGATCTGAAGGCTCCAAAGTGTAGGCAGAAACCAGTCTAAGGGACGCAATGTTCCCCACGGGGTTTAGGGCCTAGGGTTTAAGGTATAGCTAAACACTAAACCCTAAACCCTAAACCCCATAGGGTTTAGGGGTTAGGGCCGAGGTTGGAAGGCTTGAAGTGCGAGAAGAAGAAGAAACATGCCAGTTTCATCATCAATCAGCGCGGTTGCAATGTCAGGAGAGCTATAGTCTAAGTTCCTTCAAGGGGAATTTTTTCGGCATTATATAGGGGAGTATTATAGGGGTTATTAAGGGGGATACTAGGAGTTTAGACTGTGGCTCACATGGTTTTGATAACGCTAGCAGCAAAAACGATGGCAAGGAAGACTATCATGCCAGCCTCTGTCGTAAGCAGGAGTAGCAGCCTTTCCCTCCACTTCTGCGAGTTTCTTCTTCTTACCCCTAAACCGTTCTCCCATAATGGTCCCAGTACAGCCCTTGTATGAACCCATGTAGTTCCCTCGGGTCCCTTAAAAGGATCCCAAAACCCAGGAGTACTACCCTAGGGGTACAAGCCTGTAACCCTTGATATTTCTGGTTGCCTGGAAAATTCAAGTTCAAGCAACGGCTTTATCCATTTGCTTCTATTCATGCCGCTACCAAAGCCAAGGGTTTCTTCAACAAGGCTACCGGAAATAAGTTTGTGGATTGTTTTGAAAGAAAGCCATAACTACAACAAAGCTTGGCATGTTGGCAGTCAAACGAGGGCCGCAGGCATAAGGTAGGATTATATAGGGTAATGTGGGGGGGGGGGGGTAAAATGGGGGGGGGGGGG